ATAAAAAAGGTTCAAATTGCCCTATCTGAAGTGTCATCGAGTAGTCACCTTGCGATACCTGAAGAAGGAAAGCACAGTCACCTTTCTCTTAGTTAAGGGGAAGTGTAAGGAAAAGGTATTCTATGTGTTATCCAAGATGGTGGGAGGCTCGATTTCCCCTTAACCAAGAGAAACCTAGGTCACAACCTAGTACATATACAACTAATATTCACGGTCGACACCTTTCAGGATCGTTGTTCAATCTCCTTTGAGCCTCGAGGCAAAAGGTTTGTACATCTGCCGAACAGTCGATCCTTCTCCCCTCGTTACAAATAGACGATCGGAGATGAATCGAGTTGTCAATGGAGGGCCATTAATAACGCTAATAACTGTCGGTAGCACGTATCGTTTTCGGGAAAAGTCGTGGAGGAAGGAAGGGACACGTATCGTACGATGGTTGAAGAGCAAACACAACAAATACTCGAGAGGTTTCATTGTGCCACGGGTCACGAGGACAGTCGATGTTCGACAGGATCCTCATTTTGAAAACATGTCCGCAACAATGAAGCTATTATGACGATAGCTGCTGTTGTCGTTTCTCTTTCCAACGTTTTTCCACGTTTTAGCTTTTCCTTCTTTTACCTGCCGTGTCGGTCAGTTTTGTACACCGTTGACCCTCGTCATATCCTCTCTTAGCTGTCTCAATAAACTAGCGAAGAAAGAGACAGAGATTCTTGTTCTATTCAACGATTTTGCCGACAAAATAAACGACCTATATACTATTCGACATTGAAGTTTTGCACGAGAACGGACCATCTATTCGCATTGATTTGTCGTTCGTAGATTCTTTAGGGAGACGTTTCGAAATTATCTTGTTACCGGCGTAGAAATTTGTCTTCTCCATTTCGAGGTCGGATTTTAGCAACAAGTAGGTACCTGTTATTTCTTTCATGGTAGATCGATGGAGAAATAAGGGTAGGTTGCAGTATTATTTTGAAAGTGACTGAGAAATTTTTGTAAAGATTTTATGGACGGCGGACCATGGAGAGAGTCCCAATTTCATATCATTTTTATTTTCTAAATTTAACACTGTTTCTTCAAAAATTATTCTTCCAATATATGAACCCTTAGGATAATAAAAAAATGATTTAAAATCTGTTAGAGGATAGTGACCGAAGATTTTTGACCGATAGGGTAGATAGATCGGTGGTGTCCTCTTTATCCTCTCGAGCGATTATCCTCGCCGCGTGGTACTCAAGCACTCGAGGCCAAGTGGGCATCCCTTGACTCCTCCCTCTTGGAAGTTGAGCAGCTCGAAATGCTTCCAGGGGTGTCTTGTTCATTCATTCTCCGGAAACACTTCTGCGCAGAGCCGATTGAGACACCAACAAGCTCCGCCACCGAGACACCAACCGACCACCTTAATCGGTTCACCGTGTCCCGCCACGGAATGCATTCTACCGACTTTACGAGCTGTTTCCACGCTTGTCGCGAAACTCTACCCAACTTTCGGCCACAATCGCGCTAAATTATCCACGGATAATGGACGACGCTTCGAACGTTTCCAACCGTTACATACTTGAAGAATCGGAATTTTTAAAACGAAATAGAAGTAGTAATATTAGTTAGAGAAAGAATAAAAGTAAAAAAGTAGAGGATTAACTAATTGGTCGGACGATGTCAGATTAATTGAAGAACAGTCTGTATATTCAAAGCAATTACTAGCTCATCGCTAATTACGACACTAACGGACAGACCATTTAGATTCTAGAAGAAGAAGAATAAAAGTGAAGAAAAAAGAAATGAAGAAGAAGAGGAACAAGAAGTTGGTCGAATGATGAATGTGCGGTCTCAGCCGTCGCGTCAGCGAGGCTCTGTTTCTCGTTTGTAAACGAGCTTCTCTTTTTTCCCTCGAAGCCACCACTTTTACTTCCGTTACCGGTGCCCTATCGACGGAAAGAACGACGTTCGAGCATACTTTATTTATCTAACCATTTATCTTGCCGGGGTAGTCGAGAAATTAGCGAGACAGCAGCGTGAAAAGCGGCTATTATCATCGATTAAATTCGTCGATGGAAATTCCTTGAGCGAAACCAAGCTCGAAAAACAAAAGAACGGTGATCAATTATCGATTAAACGAGATTCGAGCGGGGTACGTGATTCATCATGTTGTCGGTGCTGAGTCTTGCATGCGATGAATCTTTTTCTAGGAAAATGTTGCTAAAGAGAATTTTAATCGCCGCGATTTTCTTTTCGCTGTGTTGAAAGAAAATTCTCAGGAAACTTGATTAAAATCTTCTTGATAGGAAAATGTAGATTACCGATTAACCCCGAGGGATTTCCTTTATTTTTCAATTCATTTGACCTGAAAATTTAAATTAGTAGCAAAATTACCGACTCGAAGGGGTTGATTTAAAATCAAGAAAAATTCGTGAGTTTTAAATGAACTTTTTAATCATTAATACATGGAGCTCGATAAATCAAGGAGGAATGAGCAGTGACACCCTGTAAGAAAGGAACAAACAAAAAACAGCATGGGTGTCGGTAAGCTTGAAAGGGGGGTGAAAGCGGGGAATTGTCGAGCTTCGAATGCCGCTCCTTAACGAGCAATAATAACTCGAGCAAATAGCGCACTGCGAAACGTAGGCAGAAAGAGAATTATAGTTTCATTGTGAGAGTAGTTGCGCACGTGTGTACGTGTTACTGTTTATCTACGAATAGAAGGGGGTACACCTTGATGGCAGGCAATGCAAAGTGTAACCCCGCGAGTATTAGCCATGGGGTGCGCTTTCAAGTGGCCATTCTGACAGAGAGAACGTGTTTTGATATTGTAACGTTTGTATTAAATATCAGTAGGAAGGGTGCTGGAGAACACTAAGCCTCTCGTTTATTAGAACTTCATTAGCTTGTCCCCCTTTGTTACCCTTCTCTATTTTCTATCCTTTTCAAGGTAATATTTCAATCAACCCTACCATGTCTCTCAATAAAAAATAAAAATTTCTTAACTTTTATCAATTTACAAAATTTCATCCAAACAATGTCTCTTTTTTTCATCTGAGAAAAGGTGGTTTATAGACAGATCGGTTTACAAAAATTTCCAGACAGGGCTAATTCGACGTGTCGCGGAGTTACAAGGGAGATTTACGAGCGTATGCGATTGACGAAAAGAGGGGTAAGGGTAGGGAGTTGGCTCACGGTCGATTGACTTTCGAAAATGATTTTTCGCGTGCAGCTACACCCGATACGAGTGTTCCTTTCATTCAGAAAAAAACCTTTTCTCCGTGGCTGCCTATAACTCACTGCTTTTCGAAAGCGTATAAACGTCTAAACACTGTCATAAATTAAGAACGGATCGGAGCTCAGGAATAAACTCAGGACAAATACGGTCTTCTATTTTCTCGATAATAAAAAACAAAAATATTTGTTTATTTTTGAAATTTTATAGTTATTTTATTACTAATTTTTGTTCTTGTTGAATTAATTATGTAGAACCAATAATAATTATATTTAATTGAATTGTAATTTTATGTGATCGAAGATCTATAGTTAACTGTTCTGCTGCAATTTGTTCATTGGATTCAGGATATAATTTATTTTCGTTCGTCGAAACCAGTAGAGTTGGTACCGCGATCGAGAAACAGATAATCCTCTGAGGTAAACACGGCCGGCAGCCGTGCCGAAGCGTGACCGTGTGTGTATTCGTTCTTGAGGCTTCGACGAATCGGTACACGATCGGAGATTTCTCCAAACCGAAGGTATTTTCATATTCCATCAATTCTTAATGCGCGAAAGGAATTATTAAAAATTCATAATATTATACAAAGTGTTTGGCTAGGAATAAGCATCCTTGCAGGGAGTAGTAGCCTAAAAATTTGATTGAAAATCAACAATAACTTCTATTTGAATTCTAGACGAAAGGCCGTTCACCTCTAAAATATTTGTATATTCTTCTTTATCCAAACACCTATCAATTTATACCGTCTCCTACACCATGATAGATAAAACATCCCCATACCATTATCGATCCTCCTTTATGCTTCGCAGTTGACTGAATACATTGTGCAGGCATTTTTTTATGAGTCGAGAAGCAAATAAGTCGAATTTGAATTTGTCCAGTATAGCCATTCTTTTTTAATTGTAATTCTTGCACCTCTGGTAAACGCTTCATTTGCAATTAAAATGACAAAAAAGTTGATAATCCAAGTGATTTGGAGTAGAATGATTGGAGGTGTCAAGAAAAATGTTTCATTCTTAGAATTCACCTTCCACTCGTAGTGTCGTGACTTTTTCTTTCCTTCGAACCATAAGTCGCTATCTAGCGGTTTTCACCCCCGAAAAATAAGGGCGTGGCAGCCCTGTGACACGGCGGCTGCTGGAGTATAAAAGATCTGCGAAGAATCCTGACTTTCGAACGGCTCGAATACCACATGTACCTGTGTGTCTGTGTGTATGTGTGTGCGAGCCTTGTCATCGACACAATGAGTCGAAGATTATCTACGATGGGATTCGCTAACGTTATAACGCCTGCAGCCAACCCCCTGCCCGAGCTCGTTCACCCTCTTGGAGAACGACGAGATCCAAGGAGAAAAGAGACCTCTTCTTCTTTTTTCTGCCTCTCCCGACGGCTCTGAAGAGGGACACAGAAAAAAAAAGCGCATGATCTATAATCTATAGGGAGAGAAGTTTATTATTCGTAGAGACACGAGAACGTTTAGAAGGTTTTCGAAGGCGGAGACACGCGAAAATGTGACAAATTTAATTTCGAGGACAGATTTAACTTTTCAAATCTATCTAAATTTGGAATAATTAGAATTATCAAAGATTTTGTAAAATATTTGGATATTAGACAAAATCGTTAATATAGATTATTAGTTTTCCGTTCAAAATGTTCTTTCTTTCTTGCAAGAAGGTCCGTAAACCCAGTGTTAAGGGGAGGTTGACATAAATTAACTAGAAAATCGGGTGAAAATAATTCGACGGACAATGGTAATTTTTAATGGATCATCGTGTTTTCATTTCAGGCCACAGCGGAGTGAATCAGCTCGGGGGTGTGTTCGTCGGCGGTAGACCGCTTCCAGATTCAACGAGGCAAAAGATCGTCGAGCTAGCGCATTCTGGCGCTCGACCATGCGACATTTCCAGGATCCTGCAGGTCAGCAATGGTTGCGTCTCAAAGATTCTCGGAAGGTTGGTTGAAATATTGCTCGGTCCAAGTATTCTCCTTCTTTCAGTATCTTTTTTCGAAACATTCTCCGTTCAGTGGTTAAAGATCGAGGAATTAAAAAAATGTCAAGTTTCCATTATCGCAAATGATTCTTTAACTAATTAGACGCAAGAGGAGATAAACCTTAGGTGTACCGCATTGTACCGCAAATTCTTACTATTGCAGGTACTATGAGACCGGTTCTATAAGACCCAGAGCAATCGGTGGCAGTAAACCGCGCGTAGCCACAGCGGAAGTTGTGAACAAGATCTCACTCTACAAAAGCGAGTGTCCTTCCATTTTTGCGTGGGAGATCAGGGACCGTTTGCTTCAAGAAGGTGTCTGTACGAACGATAACATTCCTAGTGTAAGTACCGATCAGTTTCATTAATCCGTCAATGATTTCGTTTATCAGAGTATATTTTAACCCTTGAACAGTGAGACCTGGGTCAATCATGGCCGAAAATTAAATGTATAATTTTTAAACGAAAAAGTTTGATATATTGAAGATTTAGAAAATAAAAATGATGAGATACGCGATTAAATTAAAATCGGAGCTCTCTCCATGGTCCGCCGTCCGAGGGTTACTCGTTTACTAAAAGAACAGAAGCGTATAAATAAATTTTTGCTTTTGAAATATAAATGAAATGGTAGAATATTTATCAAAATCAGTTTGACGAAAAATCATAGTCCAGATAAAACACGTAACAGAATGGTTAATGATGTAGGGAACGTTATTCGTGTCGTTCCGTTTATACAGAGATTTCATCGACTCCCATAAACACTCCCCATAGTCACCTAGCAGAAAACTGATCTTCATTCCTCCCCCGTCTCTGCTATCTATGCAAATGTGATTGTATTTTGCACGCGTACAGAAAGCCCCGGTGTCGACAATACGCTCTGTCGCTTACGACCTCCATCCCAGGAAAGTCGAGCTCCATTACGCGTGTTTTGCGACATGCTTTATAAACCCCGTTGTCCTTGTTACCCTGAGAAACATCATCGTGATTCAACCCACCCGTTTTTCTGCACTTTCATTCAATGTTCCGTTTAATGCGAAACGCGTGCAACCGTGTATCATTTGTGCAAATACAACCGTGTAATCGCTTATTTATTGCATAATGAAATATTACAATGGGAACGAAGGGTAAATGTTATTCTACGCGATGTGTAATTGTTTATTTATCTCATAACTCGAACACCAGGATGCATTCGAGTGCAAGCTTAATATTTCAAGTAAAAATAAAAATACAATATAACATTTGCCATTAAATGAATTTATAATGTATAAAATGTAGCATTCGGTAAAAAATATTCATCTCGCAAAGGATCTATAGGAATACAAAGTAGGGTGGGGTATGGATAAACGAAGAAGGTTCAGCAGATAAAGGAATCAATTAAGAAATTGCAAAGGATGGAAAGGGGAATATAACGCACGGATCAAAAGGAAATTTCCCTTTTTTCTGCTCGATCTCGAAGACTTACACTCCACCCACTAATACGTTCAGAGTTCGCGACGGGGTTGCTTCTCATGGTGGTCCCTCGTTGCCATGGATATTTGCATGCGTCCAATAAACGGTGGCTAAGGGGCTCTCGACTCTTGCTCAGGGTAAAAAGTAAAAGAGGGTCGCTAAATTCTCTTTTCCTCTTGCCGACCTTCTTCTTACTCCACCCTCTTCCTTTTTTCCTTCCTCTTTCTTTCCATCGCGCCTCCGTAATGGCCTCGACACCATCGTACCTACACCATCCTCCTACGCCCAGATGCTTCGACAGAAAATTCCGAGAGAAAGGGATAACTCGGGGATCACGAGCGTTTTTATCGTCATGGGGAAATACCGAATGTCAACTGTCTTCGATATAAATAGTAATTTTAGAAAAAGAATTAAAATTTCAGATAATCTTGTTCCGCTTACACATAATGAATAATAATTCCGAATCGGTGATTAGTCAATTAACGAAAACGGTGAACGTAACGATTTAACGCTTTAACAAATTACACGGGGTGGGCCAAGGGTCGGTGGGAGCCTGGAGGCCGAAAGGAGGATCAAAGCTTGCCGCACAAAGTAAGTATAATCCCAGGGCCGCGTTTGAACATTCTGCAAGAGCTTCTGAACTTGTTGTGGCGAAGATTAACGTTTCTTTAATGGCCCGTGTAATATTCCATTATGTACAGTTCGGCCGAGAATTATTGCGTCGACGTCGGGGGCACGGAGTCTCGGGGAAAGGGTTCGCGAACAAACCGGATCGACCGAATGGCGAAATAAAAGGAAAATCACGAGGAAAGCAATTTCTCTTTTGCTGGATTCCCTGCAATAACGATACCTTGGATGTACCTCCGAAGAATATTGTTCTTCGAAACTTTCGGTTTCATACTTTGTTGCTCTTCAGAAGAGGGGGAAATTTAGAAAATTTTCTTATACTTTGTTGACAATAATTTTAGAAAAAATTGTTTTAAGAAACGCAACGAATGCTCTTAGTTTTCTGGCTGGATAAGAATTGAAATCGATTTCGAAAGGTCGCTATCGTACGAACGTCCGTACATTTCCTTTCTTCCACGTTGTATCCTTTCCTCGGCACGTCGAAAACTCGTAGTTCAACGTGAAGAAGAACGGGCGAGAAAAAGAAAGGGGGACGGCGAGGGCGGACGTATTCGAAGCGGGTCGCGGTGATTGAGGGAAATTTCATTATTCTCAGACATTACCCCCGTTATTGTAATGCCATCAAATTGGACACGCTTCGTACACCCCCGTAAAACGGCCGGAATATTCTTGAATATCCGAAGCTGAAGCTTGCTCTCGCTCGAAAGAATGCGGGAACGATGCTTGATGCATCGCGAATCTTTCCTCCTCTACCACTCGAGCGATCGCGAATTTTTCCTCTGATCAGTTTTGATTCCCTATCGGGGTCCAACCTTTTCCTCCTTTGTTTCCAGGAATTTTTCAATATCTTGCGAATAATCGAAATCGTTGAAATTGTTGTTTTAGCTATTGTAAAAAATTACATTGTTTCTTCATTATCATTATTCTGTTCATCTTTGTAAAATTCAGTTATTAATTTTGAACAAATTTTCGAAAGCCAAATAAGAGATGATTGGTTCAATGGCAAATTAGAAATTTTGTCAAATTAATAAGAAAAATCCTTTTTCTTCTTTTTGTAATAAAGATAGTCATAGTATGTTTCGATGGCGAAAGAATGTGCAATTAATCCGGGTTGTATCGAAAGAAGGAAAACAGTATTTTCCGAGCTTTGAGAAGAGCCGCGTGAACGATCGAATGGACAATGATTTGACAAACCCGAAACGGGTGCAGGACGTGGCGTCGCTTTCGAAATGTCCTGTGAAGCTCTAGCTATCCGTTTCGTCGTCGAATGCCGTTTCAGTCCCCGGTCGGATTTGAATCTGGCACCCGGCGTGGCGGACGCGTTATTGGTTTACTCGCACCACTGATTCCGGAATACTGGCAGTGGTTCTCAGCCAATTTTCAACGACACAAAGAAAAAATCTTTTGATTCATTTCAATTTTATCTGGTTATATTCATATAGTATTTTTTTGAAAAACAGAGACGTTTTTGTCCAAGCTTTATTTCTATCAATTTGCAATTATTGTGCAGTATTATTGTGCAGTGATGCAATTATAACGTGTCTACTGTGCTGTGACATTTAACATCCTAATAAACAATTCAATATATTCTCTTTAAAATAAAATGATTAACGATCAGACCATATATACTGGAAAATGATGCTGTAAATTGAGAGAGAACCACTGTCAAACGAGATCACATTCGTTGAGCTGGCCAGCCTGACCGCGATCGTTCTTTCCGGGAGTTGACATTGATGTCTCACCCCCAATGAACACTTCGAAATTACGAGTGGTTGCTGTATACTTCGATCTCTATCCACTGTCAAAACTTGACATTTTGTATTAAAGTTAAAAAAAAAAAAAATGAATCATTAACTTCGTTACAGTATCAATTCCACCAAAGTCGAAGAAGAAAGTCGATCAAAGAATTTCCTTCTAAATTGTCTTTCATTAACTTTGGAAAGTTCAAGGGGTTGATTCGAGTGTCCAAATGACAGGATTACTGACATTTCCCCAGATACTGACCACATGCCATTCACGCTAACCTTGTATACTCTCGTTCGCTGACTTAGGGGTGGAAAATCACGAGTGTCACAAGGGAGTTGAATCAGGGGTAGCACGATTTCCTGTGGTGACCAAGCGTGTCCCTGTAATTAATAGTCCACCACTGTGAATGGATCCTCTCAGGGTCGCGTTTGCACGTTGTTTTCACATGGTACAGCAAACCTGATGACCGTTTGAACGACCAATCGTCTCTATTAGCACCCTAGTCATGTCTGCTATTCGGTAATCTACCTATCATAGCAGGAAGATATCTGATATCGAATACTATACAAATTTAGTATTATTTTTGTTATTAATGAGTTTAACATTAGCAATTTTCTTAATGATCCAGCTCATCGCAAATCCTTGATTTCTAAATGAATATTAAGGCAAGGAAAAAAAAAAAAAAGAAAAATACCACGAGGACAGGAATGTCTGTTGGAACATGTGACAACCGCGTCCCCCAGATGTACGTAACCGCAGCAATGCCAAGAGAGAAAGAAGTGTTAGGGATGGGATGGGTGGGTGGTGGAAAGGGGTGGGATCTTACCGGTAGAAGAGGCAAAGTAATGGATGGCTGGTGGAACCCGAGGCGAGTGAATTGTTGGCCCCTGTACGTCCGCCTTGGAGACACCCTCGGCTTGCCCTGTCCGCGTAAATCAATGCACCCCTTCGTCCTCTCGTGTTACCAACCCCTCCTTGCTGGCTGGTGCCACGAGCAACCCCTCCTATCCGTGTTCCTCTCACGGAGGAACGGCTGCAGCCATCGTCTTGAGCTCTAGACCGACCCGGACTCGGTGGTCGAGGGTTGGCGAGGGTGTCGGAGACGTCCGGCTACTGCATTATGTATTTCTCAGCGAACCACCCCTCCTCCTTTTTCATCCCCTTGGTCCAGCATTTCTTCCTTCTATCCTCTCTTCGTTACGCTTTCCCTTATTTCCATGGGCTATCCTTTATCGCCACGTCGCTCCGCTCTTTTTCTTCCACGCGAGCCGACGAGACTCGACGCGACGCGACGCGAGGCGTCCCTTTTAATCACCGAACCGTCGCCGTCGTACCCGCTGGACGTTGCTCTTATGGAATTAATTTCTTGCCCTGGAACTTACTCCAACCGAACACTTGCAATATGTTTTCGATGAACTTTATTTAAGATATTTCATATTTTACAAAAATATGATGAAATAACATTTGTAATTTAGCCTGTTCAAAATTAAAATACAGGAGACGTATTAAGAAATATGTTTTT